CATGCGAAAGTTTACATGCCATCTTATAGAGCTTGCTTTGACCTATCGAATTCTATTTAATAACAAAAATTGGGAATCTCATGACTTATTGCGCTAAAAAGCCAAAACTGAAAAAAACTTATGAGACAACCTAATATAAACATTTTCTACTTTTTGGCACATATTATAAAGTCACAGAGGCGCATACGCAAGCTCATTGATTCAGCAAAATTGGCGACTGGAAGGCGGGGCTTCGAAGGCTAGGGAATATCAGGGAGCACGGGCGCGACGGAATCGTAGATGCTCGCTAGTGTGAGCGGTCGCCTTCCTACACGATTCGGTTGAATCGAGGGCATGATGTCAAGTCCCCAGCAAGGTTCTTGTAGGTACAACCAGTTGCACACCCTATTCGCTGCTTCTCGCTCGATTTCACACATCCATTTTGGGTAATCTCGAATTTGGAGGTTAACTTGTTGAAAAGAGCGATAGCAAGCAAGTAGCACGCGAGCGGTAGTACTTCTGGACTTCGCTACGAGACAGATGGTAAAGCAGCGCCTGGCTCGCGGGCGTGGAGGGTTTCTGGTAGAGTTTCTCAAGAAACTGCACCGTCTCAGGCTCTCATGTGTTTACTTAAAGACCACTGCATGACGAAGGCGCTCAAGCAATGTTTGGCGGTCGCGAACGCGCGTATCTTCACCATTATAAATTCTGCGCCTCGTGCGCTCTGGGCTAATAAAGCCGCGTTCGCGCCCAAAGATAAAGCGCCTTCGTCATGCAGCGGTTTATATATTATCCGCCTTTGTGAGGAACTCTTCGATGATTTGTTGAATGGGTCAGCAAATGTTTGATCATAGACTAATAAATGAATTTAGGTGGTCGAGGACGGCAACCTATGCAAATGAATCAACAAATGGGACCACAGGGCGGAATGGGCCGCGGCAGTATCCCTGGTGGACAGATGAGTGGTCAAGCGCATATGGGCTCGCAGCATATTCCTGAAGGTCAACAAGTGATGGGACAACAGATTGGTGGACATGCAATGGGTTCACAACAAATGTCTCATCAAATGGGTCAAACTTCGATGTCGGGGCAGCAGCAGTACTATATGCAGCAGTCAGATCAGAGGTGAGAGTTTCACGTTTTGATCGTTGACGCGAACAACATTTGCGCGGATAAAACGCAAATTTCATCTTGACAACACTTGAATGAGCAAAAGTGCATATTCTTCAATTTTTCGCCCATGGCGGCATGGTGGAATCATTTCATTTAAGTGTTAATGCACACACTGTTCACTGGCATTCCCATCCTAGATTCTTGACGAACAATCTTTCTGGTAAGTGCATTCGATATGTTCTTAAGCAGTGTCCAGGCAAATTTGGACATACGAGGATCTCACGTGTGTACTAATTTTAGGGTGTTAATTAAGACAGCGTCCATGCGGTATCTCAGATGGACTCACGTCTGAGATTCGCCCTCAAAATGAACCCTAGGATCGTGTTAAAGGCAGCGTCCGGACTACGTTTGGGGTTTTGGGATTTCACTGTTACGCAAAAATAGCCGCCCTGCCATACCTCCCAGCCTAATGGAATCGAAAAGGAGAAAAACGTCCGGTGCGGAGACTTACGCCTTTCGGAGGACCCCGCCCACCGAATCGATTGGCTAGAGTGCGCATATCGCACACAGTCAAGACGAAAGTCCCACCAAGACTTCGCTTAACCACGGCGGCAAGCGTCGAAATTCAAAACCAGAGGCTTCTGGAATAGACCGTCTTCGACATTTTTGTACATTGCAAGTTGCACTTTCGGATTTAGCGGGAAGGATAAGCTTAGGTACGCGAAAAAAAATTTGTTTAAAATTTTGCCCGGACATTGCCTTTAGCAGATACTTGCCTCAACAGCCCATCTTTTCGCATTTCTGGCGCGATAGCATGCGAACATTCGTTGGGTACGATCTTAGGGTCCACTTTGGATACGAATATCTTAGCCATGAGCGAAGCATTCGAGCACTGTCTCAGTTAAGCCGCAAAATTACATTCCATATGAGACACCTTATGTCCATTTGCCTGGACTTGCCTTTGATGTTTTCTTTCTTTTCTCGGTACTAATCCCCAAATGATGTAACCAGCAACTCGGTCGGTTTCTTGCGATTATATGGACGCCAAAAATGGACAGTGTGTGCAATGCACACATGATCATAAGAAATGATTCGACCATATTTGTGCGCAGATCTCTCACAACAGAAGAAGTATATCTGTCGTCAGATGTCCTAGCTCTATCATCTCATTGTGCAAAGAATATCTATCGTTCACATTTTAGGATCATGAATCCGCAGTA